GCAGGACCAGTAGACCTCAAGCCCGCAAAAAATATTAGTTGCGCCACATTAACATTAATCGATACTTACTCTTATATGCGTACTTAATATTTCCTTCTTCTGATTTCTCTGGGTTACGTTTTCATACCGTTTATCATTTTTAAAAAAAATCGTAGGTTTAGAAATAGCTAATAATGAGTAAATAAACATGTCAATACGAGTAAACATAGATCGGAAACAATTCAAAATTTATGTTTAATCAAAATATGATCATTTTACCTGATTTGTGTGGCGATATTACAAGCTCCTTAAAGAAAGCAGCCATATTAAAAGGATTCCATTCGATCACTTCTTCACATTTTGTCGGTTTAAGTCTTTTATATAATTATCCATATTTTGATTTTCGCTTGTCCATCCTTGAATTATCTTCCGAGAATCACACGTCTGACGGCAAAATTTTTTAGTATGCTAATTTAGTCTATAATTAGTACTTCTTTTGTCGTCCCGTTACCTCATAATTAGTAGATGGATGGATCGATACTATATTATAATCATTGGATTATGACCATATTCCGGGTAACAATTACTACATTCCTGCATGATGAATTCCCATTCCCACATTATTTGTAATAATCATAGTTCTTACCTCATTCTTGATAATCGGGTAATTCTAGATAGATGCATATAAAGATCGCTAGATGTAAAGGAACTAGAGATAACAGGAAGATAATTTTTCTTTTACTCTAATTCCATACAATAAATAATACGATAAACATATATTCGCTCTCCCAACAATATAAAACTTACATTCTTTTTACCCTAATGTTCACGGCCTAAAGCTAAATCTGGCAACGAAGTACATAAGTCTCTCCCCAAGCCGTGACATTTTTGGTGCCAGTTGTGTGGAATGTTCATTTTGTCTCTACGTTTTCTTATATTAAAAGGTGTCATTAGGCTTAAATTACAGAATTATGTGGAAAAGTATGTTGTATCCGATGAATTGTAGCGGAACGGTTAATAAAAATAGGAGTACCTGCAACAAAAATAACGGTTTAGTAAACGAGAATTCGAACCACCAACTACAACAGCTCCAGGATATGGTGAATGTTTTGGTCCAATCACAAGAATCCTAGGTGAATTTAGAGGAACAAACTTTTGTGAAAATCCCGACCTATACAGGAGAAAATCAGCTAATGGCTAGAATTGGTAAACAGTGCTTTCGAGGTGAATAAAATTATGAACGCAAGAAAGCTGGCTATTGCAAGTGCCAGTTTGATGGGCCTCGCTGCGTTTTGGTGGGAGAATCGAAGAAGAATGGAACCAAGGATTCTGTACTGGGATAATAAGTGTGCTCAAGACCAAAGTTTAGTTCACCAGTTCCTTTCGAATTTTTGTACCCCGGCTATGATGGCCCGTTGGAATACAGTTGTCGACCCGAAGGCAAGGTGCCATAGAAACAGTAGATAAGTACGCCGCCATGTTGGTATTGTTTCAACGGTTGAGAAGAGTTGGAAATCAGTACTCTGAGAGTACGAAGGTGGAAATGTTCGTGCAAGGCCTCCGCCCTGATTTGTCATTGTCCGTCCAACCGTTTATGCCAAGTACCCTTTGGGAAGCTGTAGAAAGAGTCCGGATTTGTGAAATAACAATCGCGTGCAATTTGGTTGTGTACGGTTCATAATTCGGAATCGAACGTAGAGGTTGCCCCTTCAAAGTTATCTCAGGTAGTGCCTCCTCCAACACCACGAGCAACAACCCTTATGCCCCAATAATAAAAAACCCCGTAGAACAAGTTGCTTCCTTACTAAAAGAGATTGTCTCTGCCTTGACAAACAGGACCAAACCAGCCACCACTGTTTAGATTGGTTTGAGTGTTTAAAACGACGATGCAATTGGTCACGTGAACGCGGATAAAAGTGAGAAAAAAGAAAAAACCAAGCCTATCGATTCTTTAGCAATGGCAAATCTGGACGATAAAGTTCGGAAGGAGATCTCAATAAAAGAATCGCGAAAACAAGAAGACAAAAGATCCAAGAATAATAAAAATGGGTTCCAGATAAATGGGTAGATGTTCGCTAAAACGATGGTAACAACAATAAGAAAGTAAAAAGGATACACCTAATAATCGTAAAATAACGGACGACCCAGAGGATCCGTTAGAAGATGTTCGAAACTTATTTGACATTGTCGTGACTGTGAAAATAGAATCGGAATTAGAAAAGATGAATGTAAGGCAACCAACAGCAATAACATATCAGTACCTACAGTACTTTTTCCGAAATTGTTCATTGTTACCGGAATGAAATTGGTGCTGAAAAGGAAGAACAAAAGGCATCCGATGATTATCAAAAAATAAAAAGAATGAGCTATGTTGATAAAGCTTGTGACCTCGACTATCGTTATCGAAATGAAATAAAAATTGAAAAGTATGAATGCATAATACTCATTGAATATCAAAAACTTGCGGATGAAAATTGTGCTGGTTGGACCGAAGGGAAAATTAAGCCAAGAGCGATGGATGCTGCTAGTAGAACGGCTGTAGAAGAACGACGTGATGATGATGGCAACGATGTTGTGGTGTTTGACAGAGGAAAGGAAGCCGAATCATGAAAATCAGACATCTACTAATGACCAAAAACTAACGAAGACGGGCCATACTAAAAGAATAAATAATCTTGGTTATAGTTACCAAAATGGAATCGGAAATACAAGCATGAACCCAAGGCATTCGTTAATCATCAAAAGCCTGTAGATATGGATTATGCTGGTGCCGCCCAAACATGGATCGTATCAGGGGGACTGATAACCATGAGTACTTTGATGAGAATGGAATAAGGGCCGAAAAGAACGAACCCGAAGCTCTTATGAGTCGCCCGAAAACTCCAGCCGTACGATGCCAAAAGAAATGACGAAGACAAAGGTTACACCAAAAACAAATCGAATGGAATAGAAGTTGATGAAGGAAAACCAACCGATGGTTGTAAGACTTTAAAAGCTGCATGCGTAGAGTGGAAGGAAAAAGTTGAATCATTTAAGACCCGTTTTAGTGCAATTAAGCGTGATGAAAGCCCAGTGAAACGAAAGAATGATGCTGTTGAAGAGACGTATAAGAATGACCAGGAGGTTGATGGTGCAAGTAGAATTTGGATGTTGAAAGTCGAAAGTGTCGGGGGTGTGAAGTCGGCGAAGGGACGTGGGCTAAGCAATAATGATCACCAAGAAATGTGCAGTGCCTGGATGGATAAGGTTGCACGAATCAAGGATCCACCAAGCTTGAAGAAACATGCTGATAAAACGACGATGATAAAGTAAAAATTAAGGTTAGTGGGATGTGAAAATAGACGAAAGGTTACTGTTGAGTTGTGGGTATGCTTGACAACGAAGATGAAGTGCATGTGATTAATGGTCTTATAATCGAAGCCCGAAGTGCTGATAATAATAAAGATAGAATTAGTGATCTAGTGGAACGTCCGTTTTTAAGAAAAACGATTTAGGCGATCGTGGCAAAAAAAAAAAAAAAAAAAGAAGCTCACGAAGGTATTCCGCAGTAATCATGTGTACGCATGAGAATAATAGGGAAGAAGCTCTACGATCTCCCGAAGTTGTCCCGGTAAACAAATTCGCCCAACAAAAAAAAAAGGAAAATGTGTAGTGATTCGACGGAACTCATCTTTGAGCGAGGGAAGATGTCACGGCAAAATTTTTTAGTTATGCTAATTTAGTCTATAATTAGCACTTCTTTTGTCGTCCCCGTTATACGTATACCTCATAATTAGTAGATCGATACTACATAATATTATGTGTAAATAGTCGTAGTTCTTACCTCATTCTTGATAATCGGGTAATTCTAGATAGATCGTTAGATGTAAAGGAACAAGAGATAACCAGGAAGATAACTTTCTTTTACTCTAATTTCATACAATAACAACATATAATATCACGGATAATTGTGAAATTCGGATCATCGTGAAATTTCAATTTTGGAGTATACTTTTTTTTTGAATCCGGACTAGTATTAGGGTTAGGGTTTATAATAAAAGAATATAAGTAGGGTTGTGAGGGCTTATATTTTTAAATTAAGGCCCTAGATTTCACGATGATCCGATTTCACCATAATCCGCAGCAATTAATATTTCTCAAATTTAATAAACTTACTTATCTTTACATCCTTACTAAAGGAGTCAATTGATAACAGCCAGATCTCTTAAATATGCCATTGATTTCGTTTTGCGTGTAACGGAGATTCGGAATTATAAATACTATTTAAAAAAAAAAATAAAATCAAAAAAAGGGAGATTAGTATAAAGTACCAAAATTAGTCAACTAAGTGAATACAACAGGTATATAAAGTTTTCCCACTGCTCTATACAACTATACTCCACGCTTCCAATGCTAAATATTCTAGATAAATT